AATTTTTTTTTTTTTTTTCTGAGTTGGAGTCTCACTCTGTCGCCCCGACTGGAGTGCAGTGGCCGCTCCTGGCCACCGCAGCCTCACCTGCTGGGCTCCGGCAATCCTTCCGCCTCAGCCTTCCAAGTAGCTGGCACTACAGCACATGCTACCACACCCGGCTCATTTTGATTTATTGTAGAGATGAGGTCTTGCCAAGTTGCCCAGGCAGGTCTCGAACCCACAGGCTCAGGCAATCCACTCACCTCAGCCTCCCAAAGGCGAGGGATTACAGGCTGAGCCACCGAGCCCGGCATTTTTTTTTTTTTGAGTTGGAGTCTCATTCTGTCACCCAGACTGGAGTGCAGTGGCCGCTCCCGGCCACCACAGCCTTGACCTGCTGGGCTCTGGCGATCCTTCCGCCTCAGCCTTCCAAGTAGCTGGAATTACAGGCATGTGCTACCATGCCTGGCTGATTTTTTGATTTATTGTAGAGATGAGGTCTCGCTGCCCAGGTGGGTCTTGAATGTGAGGGCTCAGGCAATCCACTCACCTCAGCCTCCCAAAGGCGTGGGATTACAGGCTGAGCCCGGCTTTTTAATTTTTTGATTTATTGTAGAGATGGGGTCTCACCAAGTTGCTCAGGCTGTTCTCAAACCTGTGGGCTCAGGCAATCCTCTCGCCTCGAACTTCCAAAGTGCTGGGATTATAGGCATGAGCCACCATCCCCAAGCTTTTTTTTTTTTTTGAGTTGCAGTCTCACTTTTTGCCCAGGCTGGAGTGCAGTGGCATGCTCACAGCCACCATAACATCGACCTGCTGGGTTTAGGTGATCCTTCTGCCTCAGCCTTCCTAGTAACTGGGACTACAGATGCATGCCACCATGTCTGGCTGGTTTTTGTGATTTATTGTAGAGACGAGGTCTCACCAAGTTTTCCAGGCTGATCTCGAAGCCCCGGAGCTCAGGCAGTCCTCTCACCTCAGCCTCCCAAAGTGCTGGGATTACAGGCAGAGCCACCACACCTAGTCTGATTTTTAAATTTTGATGAGTCCAATTTATCAATTTTTTTCTTGCCTCTGAGTTGTCATATTTATGAAAGTGTTGTCAAATACTGTGTCATGAAGATTAAAACCCAATGTTTTCTTCTGAGTTTTAAAGTTTTAGTCTCTAGTTTAGGACTTTGATTTATTTTGAATTAGTTTTTGTATATGGTAGTAGATTAAGGGCCCGAAACTTCTTTTTCCCATCACCATTTGTTGTAAAGATGCACTGACTCTTAGAGATCCCTGCCTCCTGCCTATCCCAGGGGACACTAGTGGTCCATCCACCTCTGTCCCACCCTGGGACCTTGCCTTACCACACTTCCAGTTTGGACTCAAGCCCACACTGTTGCTTCGTCCTGGGATACTGATCTCACTAAACTTCTTTGGGACCACAACCTTCTTGCCTCTTCCGCCTCACAGCCACACCCTTCCTACTCCCACCTTGTCCATGATAAGCCTTCCCCAGAGGCAGAATCCCCTGCACCCATCCAGCCCTAACCTGCCTGTACACCATAGCCACTCTGGCCATGGGTCCCTTTCCCTCCTCACCCTCCCCTCTGGCAAGACCTTCCTTCTCTCACTGACCTTCATGCTCCTCCCTTGGCCCCTGCAGGCAGCCTCTCCCCTTGGCTTCCTACCTGTCCCCTTAGGGAGCCGGTGGATGCCCTGCGTGCACCTGGTCTACATGTTGACCATCTCTGTTCCCTCTTCTTCCCATCCTCAGTCCCCTTCTCCATCATTCCACCTTCCCAGGTTTCCTCATATTTGAAATCCTGGTTCTTGTCCCTTTGCCCATGTACATTTTCTGCAACCCCCGGGAACCAGGACAGCAGACCTGTGTGTTATATATTGATGTGAAGCTATTTCCAGAAAGAAGTTTCATCTGTGATTCCCCCTTTCCCTAGGACCCCGCAACTTTCATTATAATGTCACAATAGCATCCCAAAATGGATCTGTGCAGTCAGGGTTCTTTACTGAGTAACATCTGGATTGTCGGCTCTTCCCAGTCTCTGGCAAGCAGAAAGGCAGGACAGAGCCGCAGGGACCCTGGGAAACGGCAGTCTTTGGAAATGAGACCTTGGATACAGAGATTGAAGACTTGACAGGGAATGAGAAGGATCTCAGAAGGACCCTGGTGAGGTCCTCCAGAAAGGTGAGAGTGGGCAGAGGGCAAGAATGATGTGAGGCCTTTCCAGGAAAGCTGAGGGCAGAGAGCAGGGACAGGTCTATTCTTCAGGACCTGGCTGGGGTAGGGGTGAGGAATGGCGGTCAGTAGAGCTCAGTCTGGAGGTGAGCTGGAATTCAGTCAGCACCGGAGACATGGAGGAGGGTGTGCGGGTCCCTTTTGGGCTGAGTTCCTCACTTGGACTGGAAGGTGGGGATTTCAGGGAATGGAAAAGTTACTGGGGTTGGGGGCAGCCTCCTATTCCCTCCAGGAAATCAGGCGCTGTGAGATCCATGAAGACAACAGCACCCAGGGCTTTAGGAATTTCAGGTACACTGGGGAGTTCTTCCTCTCCCAAAACCTGAGGTCTCAGCACCCCTGTCCCTGAGAGCTCAGACCTTGGTTGAGAACATCAAGAAGTTCTGGGACTAAGGAGGAATGCAAGCCAAGATAGACTCTCGCCCTGTGCTGGCCGGGTGTGTGGAGAAACTCCGGCGATATCTGAAATCCAGGGTGGGCATCAGGAGAACAGGTACAGACCCTGGGTAGGGGCTCTCCTCTCCCCCACCACTTTGGAATTGTGTCCATGGAAACCCTCCCTGTACTGTGGATGCCTGCGTTTTCTGCTGGTGTATTATATAATGATGTTCCTCTCCTGTTAGAGCCACTGGTTAAAGACAGTGGGTAGAGACCTGAAGTGTTTAGTGTTGTAATACAGGTGAGCAGTGGGCCCTCTGATGGATATCCAGACCTGAGGGTGGTTGTTAGGCAGGAGAGGAAACCCTCAGGTCCAGAAGCAGCTCTGCCTTCCTCCCTGCCTGCCCATCATGGAAGGTTCCCTCCTGGTCCCATGACCCAGGAACTCACCCCTAACATTCCCTCTTCTGCAGGCTCATTCTTCTGCCAGTCTGGAGGAGTTGAGCCCCAGGGTGAGATCAGCCTTGCAGAAAATCTGGGGGACCAGTGAGAGCTTCAACTAGAGACAAAACAGTAGAGAGGACAGCCCTGCTCTCTGCATCTCCCTCAGAGGGAAGCAGGGCCAAGCCTGTGCCTCATTGGCTGTGCCCTTTCTTCTCAGTGGTGAACATAACCCACTGTTATGTGGGTGAAGCTTTGGAGGGCTACATCACCCTGACCTGCTGTGCATTTGGATTTTATCCCCAGAATGTCTCCCTGACCTGGAATCAGGCTGGGGCATCTTTGAGCCAGGCAGGATGCCCAGCAGTCTGGGGATGTCATGCACAAAGGGAATTGGCACTATCAGACCTGTGTGGCCACCAGGATTCCCCCAAAGAGAGGAGCAGAAGTTTGCCTGCCACATGGGACGTGGTGGGAATCACAGCACTCACCCAGTGCCCTCTGGTGATCCTGGGTCAATCCTGGAGGGTTTCAACCTGGGAAGGGTCAGGCCAGGGTGGGGGCAACAGAGAAGGCTGTGACTCTGGGTGCCTAGTGTGGAAAAGGCCCCCTTTTTAGGAAAGGCCTCAGTGCCTCAGAGTCTATGGTCAGCCACTCCATATGTTGCAGCTGTTACTGTTGTTGCTGTTATTCTTATTCTCTGTGTCTATTGGTACAAGAAGAAAAAGGTGACATCAGCTGCAGAGAGTCCAGGTGAGAAAAGGAGGTAATGGCTGGAGATGGGAGGGCCCTGTCTGGGCAGTAGGGTCCCCTCATATCTCCCACTGCACAGATAGGAGTGCAGGTAACAAGTCTTCTGGAACAGAGGATGGAAGTTGAAATCTTGGGAAGAGAATGGGAGCCACATTCCCATCTAACCCCTTAGTCCTGTCCAAGAGAGAGGCCAGAAAAAGGACCTTGAATGTCTAGCTGTGCCTTCCTCTTGCTGCGGGGTGAGGAGTGGGTAGCATAGAGGGCTGTGACACCTTCTTCCATCCCCATCTCTCTGTCTCTAAGGCACCAGGGTGTGTCCAGGTGGAGTGAGTCTGGAATCCTCTGCTGATTGCTGATCACAGCTTTTGAATGAACAAATAGCAAAGATATCTGTGATCTGGGGAAGAGTTAGAAACTGAGAAGACTCTGAGGACAGGTGATGCCTCCAGTCCCCTCCCACCTGCAACCCTCTCCCCAGTCTCTCTAGCTATCATAAGGACACCAAGGAAAAAACCCGCAAGGCCATGTCTAGGGGCCCTGTGTGTGCAACCCCCTTGGGAGCCCCCACTTTTAACAGGGGTGGGTTCTGACAACACGGTCATCCTCTGTCCACTTTTCAGCCCCTCGTGTTCCTCCTCCAGGAATTGTCTGGGAAGTGTTGTGTCCTCTGGATCCCTCAAGGCCCGTGTTCTTTCCAAGAATCCCCCATGAGGCCCGTGCCTTCTTGAGTTTCCCTGTAGATAATGTGAATGAGTAGATACACAGATGTCCCTGGACCACGTGGGGAGTTGACATCTAAAGAAGACATTTTGAGAATTAGCACATGGCTTTCACACCCTTTTTGTGACCAATGTCCCAGTGATGTATGAGGCAACCTTTCCTGCCCACAAGGAACCAGAAGTGATGATCCCACTAATGGGGATGCCGCAGGTGCCAGCCAGAGCAATGACTGAGCAGCACTGCCCCTTGTCAGGGCAACTGCGTTCCCTATTTTTATCCTACCCGCAGGATTTTCCTTGTGCAGTCCCTCATGGACACTGTCCCCAGGGGCTATGTATTTTGGGGCATGTGGTATGTGCTCTGTGGACTCACTTTGCCCTCCTTGAGCCCATTCCCCTTTTTCTAGGGGGCCACTACCTGGTAAGTTTGGAGTAAGAGATGCTCACAATTATTTCCCCATAGTCAGTTTGCTTGAAGGGAGAGGAAAAGAGAAAACAGGTAGTTTTGTGTTTCCAGAAAGACAAAGAGAATGCAGGGGACAGTGGAAGTGTGGAGTGTCCAGGAGCCTCAACTCTTTCTGTCATTTCCCTACTTTTGTATGACTGGCAGTGGGGAGGGGATTCTCATTCTTGAAGCTAATTGCACTGTCAATCAGCCCCTCAGTCCTGGGGAGATGGGACAGTTGGTGCCTGCTCTATAGCAAGGGGGCCCTGTCCAGGGGTGGAGCAGTGCTGCTCAGTCATTGTTCTGGTTGTCCCCTGCGGAATCCCCCTTAGTAGGATCGTCACTTCTGGTTCCTTGTGGGCAGGAAAGTTTCCTCCTATATCGCTGGGCATTGGCCTCAAAAAGATTGTGAAAGTCATGTGCTAATTTCTCAAAATTTCTTCTTTAGATGTCAATTCCAATAAGGAGATTTATCGTTTCAACTAGATAATCTTAATAGTATTTCTTCCAATCCTGATGTAGAGCAGATTAAATGAAGCAGGATCTCACATTTGGAGCTCCCTCTCCAAAGGGTCCCTGTGGGAGGTAGTGGATGTGATGGTGGCATTCCCAGGGTGCAGAGGATGGGCAGACACAGCCTCAGACTGAGGGGTCTTAAGACTTTCTACTCCACATGGAGGAGAAGATCCCCTGTGGTCTGGGAGGGCAGTGGCCTGGGTGAAATCCCTGTGAGGAACAGGGTAACAGGAAGGCCTTGCAGCCTCTCATTGTCTCTGGCTGCTTGGACTTGAGAGGAGGGAGGGCACTGGGTTCCATTCCTGGATTTTGCTGTTTAGTCTTGTGACCCTTTAACTCCTTGCATAATGGGCAGTGGGGGCAGGGCAGTTGCAGATGTTGATGGTGTTGCGGCAAGATGGGTGCAAGGGGTTCTGCCTCTGGGGAAGGCTTATCGTGGATAAGGTGGGAATAGGAAGGGTGTGGCTGTGAGGCAGAAGAGGCAGGAAGGTTGTGGTCCCAAAGAAGTTTAGTGAGATTAGTATTCCAAGACGAAGCAACAGTGTGGACTTGGGTTCAAACTGGAAGTGTGGAATGGCAGGGGCTGGGTAAAACTGGGTAAAACTGGGTGGGGAAGAGAAAAAAGTGGGGGTATTATCTTTCCTCAGAGAAATGTTGATTCTTACTTTGGAGCAACTGAAGAGGGAGAAATCCTGAGGGAATAGAGAGCACCACTCCACAGCCCATGGGTTACTTGCTGGTTTCTCCTTTTCCCTCAAGTGCTGGATCCACACTTTGTTGGGACAGGAGACCACGAGGGCACCGCACAGCTGGAGTTTCACTCTCTGATATCAGTGTCTGGATCCCCTGACTCCATTGAGGGCACCTAGACTCTGCTGCCGGGTGGCTTGGATTAAACTCCCTGCCTGAGTCTCACCAGCATTTTCCCTCTTGGTGCCTCAGTTTGTTTAACAATGAAATCAGGAAAATAATAGCATTTACTTCTTGTTGTGGTGAATGTGTTAGTATGTGTGGGGCAGTGCAGCTGTAGTATCATTGTTTTCAGTTGGTATCATTGTTTTTGATAATACCAACTGGGCATATCTATTTAAAGAGTTAATATCTATTTAAAGAGTGCATATCTATAGTATAAATTATACAGACATAGCAGACATGGGGTAATGCCCAAGAATGTAACAGGGGTGGGGGACCTCAAGGTGCCAGGAAAGCTGGTTCTGGGTTCCCCAGAAGGAACCGTCACAAGGACACTAACACATAAAGCTCTCCTGTAATAATATAATTACTATACATGCAATATAGCAAATATGATAAAATAAACACAAAAAATCCCCTAAACCAAGATATCAACTAATCTGGCACAGCTGTACTGCCGCACATATATTAATGCATTCAATCCACCAACCACAACAAGAAGTAAAAGCTATTATTTTCCCGATTTTCAAGGGTTGTGGGGAGGTGAGATGTTTCCTACCCTGTTTCTTGGTCCTTCCTGACTTCAGGTCTTGGGGCTCACAGATGGGTGGTGCTCTTCTTGGTCAGGGCAGACTCAGCCCTACCCAGGTAAGGCAGTGGTGGCAGAAAACCTTAGAGGGCACCTGTCAAACAGCCTCAAGGCAGGAATGGGAGCCCTTGAGCATCAGGAGTGGATACAGTACCTGCCTGGAAGCTGGAGAAGGATGAGGGACACTAGTCGGGTTCTCTTTTCACACCCCATCCATGGGTTCACAGTGTGACCAGGAAGAAAGCCAGGGCAGAGAATTCATTTCTACACTGCCCAGAGATGTGTTTATTGATATATTTTTTCTTGTTTTTATTCACTGTTGATGTCATTCAAACATGTATGCATGCCTGTTTTATGGTTAAATATTCTTGTATTTTAGTTAGCCCTTAAGTATTATTGTTGAATGCAGTTGTCGTTAGGCACAAAATTTCATCATGAAAGTTTATGTTTTTGTTTTAATCAAAGTTATGATTGTCCATAATTGAAGGCCAAATGTTCTCATAGGATTTCTCAAGAAAAAGAGTTCTCTATGACTCTTCTCAGTTTCTGTCTTCATTGAGGAAATAATTTTTTTTTTTTAATTAAAAAAATTTTTTTTTAGATACAAGGCCTCACTCTGTTGCCCAGGCTGGAGTGCAGTAGCCCAGTCATGACTCACTGCAGCCCTGACTCCTGGGCTCAGCTGCTTGAGTATCTGGGATTAAAAGCGAGCACCACTATACCCTGCTGTGTTGCCCAGCCTGGTTTCCAACTTCTGGCCTGGGGCCTAGAGTGATCCTCCTGCCTTGGCCTCCCATAGTGCTGGGATTACAGGTGTGAGCCACTGTACCCAGGCTGAGGCAAACACTTTCAACTTTTTTAGTGGCTTCTTTGGACTTCTACTTTAATGTCTTAAAATATCATTTTAAAAAACTAATACTGCTTGATATGTCAATTGCAGCTGTTATCTGTTGCCCATTGTCTGTGGTATTGCACAATGGTTGATGCTATAGGTAGTAGTAATTGTTCTCTTTCACTCTTCCCATTCCTTTATATTACACACACACACACACACACACACACACACACACACAATCTCTCTTGATTTTCAGTATTTGGAATTACAGTATATTTATATAGTAATTATGTTTAGTTTAGTTATTCCTTGTTTCCTTTTCTATGACTAATCCTCTCATATTTCAGTTTTACTTCTATTTATTTTCTGTACACTATTTGTTTCTCCTGGAGTTAACAGTTGCCTTGGTTTTGGTTCAATTTGCTTTGTTTTGTCTTGTCTGATATTTCTTCTATTTATATGACCATTTTATGAAGTTAGAGACTTTGAATATCTATGAATTTCGCCTTCTTGAAAATATTCCCTCTGGTCCACCTTGTGTGCTTCCATCTGGACTGGAGGCTTTGAAATGTGGAACAGGGCCACTACCCCAGGATCTCTGTCCGCCACCACCTGGGGTAGTGCTTGGACATGCAGTGGAGCGACCAGGGATTCCTCTGACTGGGACAAGGCCTGTAGAGAAGTGAAGATCCACTCCCCCCATGCTGATGGCCAAGCGCCTATAGACTGGAAGAAGGCTTCCTCTCTGCTGTGTCCTCTCAGGTTCGTTCAGGCATCAAGGAATAGACCCTAGACATTGCCTCCTGCTGTGTGAGCTGGATGCATGCCCAGAAGGGAGGTGGCCCTGCCAGGGGTCCTGGGACTGCCAGTTGGTCTGGGGCCTCTGTGCCTGGAGACAAGAGAGGAAGAGGATTTCTACAAAACAGTAATCATAGCTTCTAACTTATTTTATTTTTAATTAGTTTAAAAATTAAACACAAGTACCAAAAAAGAAAAACTGCCTAAAAATGATGTCCTTTAATAAAAGTTAAATGCCCATTAACCACCAGAGAGATAGAATTCTTTCAGCCCACTCAGAAGCCTCATATTTTACCCCATCTCAATGATAAACTCTTCTTTCCCCCAATAAAAACACATCTTGACATTTATGTTAATCACTTATTTTTTCTTTAAAATTTCATCATGGAAAGTTATACTTTAGTTCTATAAATAAAAATGTTTGGTCCCCTATATGCTGTAGGTTCCTACTTGAAATTAATATTGTCTAGTTGAGTTTCCTATAGTTTCCACTTTTGCTGATTGTACTCAAAGGTGTGTTTAATGTACATCTCTGTTATCTGTATTTCTTGGAAATTGGTAGTTAGCTATGTGACATGTCTGCTCCCCTGCTGGTTCCCCTAGCCTTCTGTTATGAGTGAAAGTTTCCTGAGGCCTCACCAGAAGCCAAGTAGATGTCAACACTGTGCAGAACTGCAAGCCAAATAAACTTTTTAAAATAAATTGCCTGCCTCATGCATTTCTTTTTGCAATGTAAAGTGGATGAATACAAGAATAACACATAGATGTATTCATAGAATTAAAACTGCTTGTTTATCACAAATTACCTACTCTAAAAAAGTTTATAAGGTCATAGAAATATAAAAGAAAGAAAGAAAAGGGAGAAAGAAGCAGAAAAATAATTTGTAATCAATAATATGTACATATAAATCAATAGTCACCATAAAATATTGGCAATATAGAATTCAAAGGAAATAGAAAATGGAAAACACTTAATCCATTGTACTATAATTTCCTGTCTACCTTCCCACCTCCACCCAGTCTGTGCCATCCATGAGGGCTGAGAAAGTTTGATTCTTTTTCTCAGACTCCATCCTTGGACATGGTAACCAGAATAAGGTATTACCTGATAAATGTTTACCAAAAGAATACATTTCCTGGAAGTACTTAGCAGACCAGGAATTGTGATGCATATGCTCAACTCACAAGCAGTTGTGGGGAGTGACATAAAGGAACATGGTGACAGATGGGACTCCAAGGGCCACCCCTCCACAGAGACTATGTGCTTTTGAAACATCAGCGCGCGCGCGCACACACACACACACACACACACACACACACACACACACACACACATACACACAATCATGAGGAGAGTTGTCTGAGCACAGATTCACAAACTGCTGAACCAGATATTCTGAGTGGGTTGACAATCAACTGTATTGGAATTCTGGAAAATCATCAAAGATTTATAACAATGAAGTGAATACAGAAAAATTAACTGGAACTGAGTAACAGAGCTTTACAGTATCATAACTTCTTCTCGGCCCATTCCCTCCCCAGCCAAGTCTGCAACAGTCTTAAAGACAGCAAGGTCTGTGGGTTTCTGGTGCCACAGAGAGCTGAGTGGACCTTGCTCTCAAAGAATTGTGGCTGTTTGTTTTGTTCTATTGGCTGACTCCCTGAAGGATGAACCGAAATGGCTTGCACTTATTTCTCCTTCTCAGAACTGTCAGGGGCAGATATGCAGTCAGAATAGAAGGCACTTGATAAAAACATTTAAATACTTGTGAATCAGCAGCTTCTACCTGGTATGTATACTGGGGATGCCAAAAAATGTATACACATTTTAAGGGCTGTTATCTACGTATTACTTTTAATTCGTCATAATCATAAATGTCTGGATGCTGATGATAACCACTTTGAGCACCTTTTGTAATTGCAGAAATCAAACGTGACTTGTATTCATCTTTTCTTATTGGTATATATATCAGATATATATACACATATGCATATGTATATAATATATATATATCAATTGGGGAAGGTAATAAACATGCAGAAACACTTTCAATGAACCTAGACCAAGACTTTAAGTTCTAAGGGACTGAGGTTTTCATCTATGAAAGGGAAGAATCCATCTTACTCTTTCATGTGTGGTGGGAATTATATATATTACAATCAGTAATCTATAAATTGGTGACATTTTTAGTGTTGATATCATTGCTCATCTGAACTCTATAACCAAAGGATGGATTAATTCATTGTGGGGCAATCACTAGGCATTTCTGCCCTGTGGTTTTCTTTTTTTTTTTTTTGAATTGGAATCTCACTCTGTCACCCAGACTGGAGTGCAGTGGCCGCTCCCGGTCACCACAGCCTCGACCTGCTGGGCTCCGGCGATCCTTCTGCCTCAGCCTTCCAAGTAGCTGGAACTACAGGTGCACGCTACCACACCTGGCTAATTTTTTGATTTATTGTAGAGATGAGGTCTCGCCAAGTTGCCCAGGTGGATCTCAAACCCGTGGGCTCAGGCAATCCACTCACTTCAGCCTAAAGGCGCGGGATTACAGGCTGAGCCATCGAGCCCGGCTGCCCTGTGGTTTTCAAATGAGAAATTTGTTTTAGGTGGAAGTGGCAAAAATATCTGAACTTCTTTTTGTCGGTCTCATTGTCATCCTCGTCGTGGTCATCATCGTCATCATCATCATCATCATCATATTACAAACAGAGTCTTGTTACATTGCCCAGGCTGGAGTACAGTGGCTATTCACAGGCATGATCATAGGCCACTACAACCTTGAACTCCTAGACTCAAGTGATACTCCTGCCTCAGCCTCCTGAGTAGCTAGGACTACTGGTGCGTGCCACAATACCCCGTTACTTTTTATTGCTATTTTACTTCAAATATTTTCTTTTGAATGTTAAAAATGTTTTTTGACATTAGAAAACATGAAAACTCATTTGATTACAGAAGACTTTAAAATGCACAGAAGAAAGGCAAAAATATCACTTAGGTCTCCCTGAAAAAATCACTTCTGTCAGGGCATGGTTGCTTACACCTGTAATCCCAGCACTTTGGGAGGTCAAGGCGAGAAAATTGCCTGAGCCCAGGAGCTTGAGATCAACCTAAGCAACTTGGAAAAACCTTGTCTCTTATATATATATATATTATATATATATATATATATATAATATATATATATATTATATATATAATACAAAATAAATTATCTGAGCATGGTAGTGTGCACCTGTAATTCCAACTATTTGAGGGCTGAGGCAGAAGGATTTGCCTTAGCTCAGCAGGTCTAGACTGCCATAGCAGCCTGAGAGTGAGACTCCGTACTCAAAAAAAAAAAAAAAAAAAAAAATCCACTTCTATTATATTCTTTTTTAAAAAATAGATCATGAATTCACAACTAGCTTTATTTTTTCCTTTTTTATTATAAATATGTGGAGTACAATTTGGGGCTAGGTATACAAACATTGATTATGTAGGTACCCTTGTTCTATTATATTCTTGAACCATCCTAGGCTCATGGTGAATGATGGTTTCTGGAGCTGTCCTAGGCAGTGGTGCTAATTTTCATTCTGTTGTTTTTTATGTATATACATGGTCTGACAATTAGGCTTGTGAACCATCCTAGAAAAAATGCTACATACCTCATTGCTGAATATCACTATGATCACCTTTTAAGTACTCCCCTTGGGAAGCTATGCACTGATGCCAACGCCTCATCCGCCAGTCAAAGCAAATTTGGAACTTTTTTTCTGGAAGAGCCATCAGAGCTGTCATTGTATTACCCTTGATGTCCTGAATGTCATCAAATGTCTTCCTGTCAATATTTCCTTTATCTTTGGGTAAAGAAAAAAGTCGGGCCGGGCTCGGTGGTTCAGCCTGTAATCCCAGCGCTTTGGGAGGCTGAAGTGAGTGGATTGCCTGAGCCTGAGGGTTTGAGACCTGCCTGGGCAACTTGGTGAGCCCTCATCTCACCAAAAAAAAAAAAAAAAAAAAAAAAAAAAAATTAACTGAATGTGGGAGTGCGCCTGTAGTTCCAACTACTTGGAAGGGTGAGGCAGAAGGATCGCTGGAGCCCAGTGGGTCGAGGCTGCGGTGGCCGGGAGCGTGCCGCTGCACTCCAGTCTAGGTGTCAGAGTGAGACTCCAACTCAAAAAAAAAAAAAAAAAAAAAAAAGTCATTGGGGGCCAGATCAGGTGAGGTAGGGAGGGTGTTCCAATACATTGATTTGTACAATGCTGCCAACGTAAGTACACAGTGACAAGTTTGTGAACTTAATTGTCAGACCCCCCTAAATAACAATGACAGCTCTGATATCCATTCCAAAAAAAGAATTCCAAAATTGCTTTGACAGGTGAACTAGGTGCTGGCATTGGTGCATAGCTTCCAAAGGTGTGTGGGGGGGGTGTACTTCAAAGGTGACTGTAGTGATATTCAGCAATGAGGTATGTAGCATTTCTTCTAGGATGGTTCACAAACCTAATTGTCAGGCCTCATATTTATATGAGGGGGGACTCCAAAAAATGAAATTTATTTTTGAAAAATTGTATATTTGGGGAGCCCGCGGCCTGGGGAGGAGGCGGACTCCCAATCCGGTTCCATCCGGTTCTCTCACCGGCCCCGCGGCGGGTCTCAGCAACTCGGTCGGCGGTAGGGGCGGTCGCGGCCCGGCAGCCCAGCTTCGCAAAGGCTTTCGGTGCGCCGCTGCCTGCAGGCACCCGGCAGGCGCCCTGACCACCGCCAAGATGCCCAAGAGGAAGGTCAGCTCCGCCCAGGGAGCGGCGAAGGAGGAGCCCCAGAGGAGATCGGCGCGGTTGTCTGCTAAACCTGCTCCTGCAAAAGTGGAAGCGAAGCCAAAAAAAGTAGCGGGAAAGGATTAATCTTTAGACAAAAAAGTGCAAGCAAAACGGAAAAGGGGAGCGAAGAGAAAGCAGGCTGAAGTGGCTAACCAAGAAACTAAAGAAGAGTTACCTGCAGAAAGGAGGAGAATCCAGCCTGTGATGAAGCAGGAGAGAAAGAAGCCAAATCTGAATAATATCACATCCCATGTTTTATCAGTGATCCCTGTCTCCCTTCTTGTACAATACAGAGGAATATTTTTGTCAACTATTTTGTAAATGCAAGTTTTTTTAGTAGCTGTACAAACATTTTTAAGAAGGAGGGAATCCCACCTCATCCCATTTTTTAAGTGCAAGTGCTTTTTTTTTTTTTTAAGAGGTGAAATCATTCTCTAGTTGTTTATTTTTTGGTACAATCAGAAAATAGGGTGGGATATTGAATTACAGGAGGCTTTGACTGTCTTGGGTATCAACTTAACATTCCATAGATGGGGGTTAGTTTTTATATCCTATAATGCAAAGTATACCAAGTGGCAATATGGATCACAGTCCTGCATTTAATGTCTTGAACATTTAAAATTACTTCTATTTCCATGTTGTTTTTTTTAGTAGACTTGTTTCCTAAAGAAAATCACTCCTCAATCATGGTTCTCCCTGTCAGAATTGTGTTCACTCTGTAACATCTTTGGTCATGGTAAATCTGTTTTCCTGATAACTTTGTTAATGTGTTGAAAGATTGAAAAATTGAAACCAGGCTGGGTGGCTCAGCCTGTAATTCCGCGCCTTTGGGAGGCTGAGGTGAGTGGATTGCCTAAACCCGCGGGTTAGAGACCCTCCTGGGCAATTGGCGAGACCTCATCTCTACAAAAAATTAAAAAAAAAAAAAAATTAGCCGGGCGTGGTAGCGCATGCCTGTAGTTCCAGCTGCATGGAAGGCGGAGGCGGAAGGATCACCGGAGCCCAGCAGGTCGAGGCTGCGGTGGCCGGGAGCGTGCCACTGCACTCCAGCCTGGGCGACAGAGTGAGACTCCAACTCAAAAAAAAAAAAAAAAAAAAAAAAAAAAAAAAGAAAAAGAATAATTGAGTAAGTTGTGTATATGATAAATTGTGAATTGGTGGAATGTATGTAACAGCTTATCAACATTTGAAGATACTGGTACTTGACATCCTCTTAAGGAAAATTTGCCTCCAAATTTTAAGCTGGAAAGTCACTGGAATAACTTTTTAAAAATAACAATACATGGCATTTTCGATTTTCGGTACGCATGTTAAGAATTGTGTACAAAGTGAAATGTCTGTGTACTGATCCTCAACACAACTAATAAATTCAATTATGAAAGACAAAAAAAAAGAAAAATTGTGTATTTATTCTTACATATTTGAACTTCAGTCACTTTCAGATTGCTCTCTGTTTGATACAATACACCTATGGAGATGCTTTTTCCACTGCTCAAAACAGTTTGTGAGCTTGTTGATCTTGATGCCTTTTAGTGCTTCTGCTGTTTTTGTTTTACCTCTTCCATATAGGCAAAATGTTTTCCTCTGATGACTTTTTTCATCTGGGGAAACAAAAAAAAGTCACTCAGGGTGAGATTGGGTGAATAGGAATGGTGGGGGATAGGAGTCATGTTGTTTTGGTCAAAAATTGCTGAATATTCAGCGTGGTTTACACATTATTCATCACCCATCATGAAATGGGTAAATGCATTGAAATATTCTTCAAAAAGAAAAAAATCCTTCAAGCCTCTCACAGCCTCTCATAACAATGCTAGCCAGTACACTGATGCGGATGGGTTCCTAGAACACTTACCTAGCAGGGAAAGCCTGTTCTACAAGCAGTCTGCCCTCTAAAAGATAATTCCAGGTTTTTGGGGTCCTCTCTCATTTTATATATATATATATATATATATATGTTTTCATTTTATAAGTTGCATTCACATGTTGTGAGTGATCTTGAATGTTGCCTTTTGAATGTCTTATGATACAAATAGTTTTCCATGTTATAAAGTTGCATAAAGTTTACACGATTTTATAAGCTGCCTCCCATTTCAAACAAGGAGATGTAGCCAGACTTCTTTTGGATCTGTCTGCTTTCACCTTGTCTTGTTGTGACTCACATTTTGACAAGCATCATGCACATGTTCTTCAATGTTTGGGATTTAAAAAAACGTATAGAATAAGCAAAGGATAAATATTAGGTCAAAGATTTTGAGCATTTTTAAGCCTTTTTATACACATGGTCAAGTTGCTTCCCTAAATCATTGTACTGACATGTTCGTTCACTTAACAAATACTTACTGAGCCCTGACTCTATACTGATATTGATGTTGGGGATACAGTGGCAAAGAAACAGACAGGAACACTTGCTCAAAGAGCACCCTTTCATAAAAGCATTAATAATCTCTTAAAAATCTCACCACTTGATACTGTAATAATTGCAATTACATTTCAACATAAGTTTTGTAGGGGACAAATATTTAAATCATCATTAATTTAAAACAGAATACCCCTTGGATTGAGCAACTCATGCTATAAACTGTGATGAAGGAAGGGAAAGTTCTAAGTCTACTAAGTATATTGTAACTGTGCTTAAGACTTTTAAAAAATGTTTAAATTCTTGGCTCAAGGGATCTACAGAGACCCAATGCATTTCTGATTTTCTAAAAATAATTAATCAACAGGGCTGATGTAGCCAAAAATTAAATGTACTCTCTGATCTTAAGTGTTGCAAAATTACAGAATATTCTGATTTCAATATCTTTTCAGGATTATTACTATAAATGTGTCACATTGATTAAAAAAGGATTAAGCCCTTCAAATTGGAATGCAGATTTTTGGGATCTCTGGAACCACAGAGCTTATTTCAACAGCAAAAGAGCCTCTATTACTCATGTGTTAAAGCTGTTCTGTCACCATAGTCAATCCTGTAGAGAACAGACATAAGTTGGGTTTGGTGACTCAGATCTGTAATCTTAGCACTTTGGGAAGCTGAAGCAGGAGGACTGCTTGAGGTCAGGGGTTTGAGACCATCCTCAGCAGCATAGCAAGACTCCATCTCTACAAATTTTTTTTTCTAAATTAGGTGAGTGTGGTGGTACACAACTGTTATCCCAGTTACTCAGGAGGCTGAGGCAGGAGGATCATTTGAGACCAAAAGGCTGAAGCTACAGAGAACTATGGTCATGCCACTGACCACTACAGCACTAATAAAGATCCAAAGGGGTCAAAATAAATAAATGCTTCTGAGCTAATTAATCCCTTGAGAGGCCATCACACATGCGGAAGGACTCAACCATGATTCTTTGACATGATTCTTTGATTCCTCTGGCATCAAGGAGCAGTCCCAGGAATGTGGGCCATCATGTCCATGGCTGCCTCATTGCAGAGAATGTGAAGGTGGCAGTAAATAGGTGCCCAAGAAAAAAAAGCCACCATGCTTGCTTACCAAAGTTTAGAAGCTTTTTTCTTAGTTAGGCTCTCCCTTGGTTGTTTTAAGTTTTTTATTAGATTCCAGACTTCCGGAAACTTGATGTAGAGAATTTTTTCCAACTTAATTGTTGCTTTATTTTTAATTTTTATTTTTTTGAGTTGGAGTCTCACTCTGTCGCCCAAACTGGAGTGCAGTGGCCGCTCCCAGCCACTGCATCCTCCACCTGCTGGGCTCCGGCGATCCTTCTGCCTCAGCCTTCCAAGTAGCTGGAACTACAGGCACACGCTACCACACTCAGCTAATTTTTTGATTTATTGTAGAAACGAGGTCTCACCAAGTTGCCCAGGCAGGTCTCGAACCCGTGGGCTCAGACAATCCACTCACCTCAGCCTCCCAAGGTGCGAGATTACAGGCTGAGCCACCGAGCCCGGTTAATTGTGGCTTTAACAGAGGGATGAATTTTTGGAGTCTCTGCTTCATCATTTTTGGTGACGTCACTCTAGTTGTCTCCAGGGCTGGGACAGTCTCCTGGACTGTGGTCTCTTTACATTGCAGACCTGGGGGTTCCTCGGAGCTGCAGGTGGCAGAAAGTCTCCCTCATCCCCAGCAGGTCCAGGGGCTCAGCCCACCATGCCTGACCCTTGAGGGTCGAAATGGGTGTGGGAGGGCAGGAAGTGAATCTGGTGCTGACCCAGAGGGCATCCCAGGGTCCCAGGGTTTATGTGTCCTCCCAAAGAAGCATCCACATCTGGAGAGAAGCTCCAGCTCCGCCCACTTAGGGTGATGAGTGTTGAAACCCTCTGCCTCCATGGGATCCATCTCTGGTAGTCCACAGTGTTGGCTATAGATTGGAGGTGGGTTCTATCCTCTGGGGGTTGCCCCTCCTACCTGTCTGACTCTATCCAACCCTGGTGCTCTGGGAGGGCTCTGATGCTAGAGCCTGGTGGGTCCACGTGGTAGCGGACCCTATGCCCCACAGGGAGAATGCTTTTGCCCAGCCTCAGGTCAGACTGTGCTTGTGAGGAGGGAGATGAGAGGGAAAGAAGGAGTTTGGAGTGACTGTCTGCTGCCACCCTCTGTGTGTCCAAATCAATCATCTCCCTCTTCCACCAGCACCTTGGCAGGTCCCTACTCCCTGACCCACATCTTGGAGTTGGTTCCTGGCAGTGCCTTCTTGGGAGCTCCTGTCCTCAGCCCAGTATAACCCCCAGAAGGTGCAGCAGTGTCAGGAACTCATTCTCCAGTCCTGATGTGAGTGAGTGGGTGTGTGTGTTTGTGACTGTGTATGAGTGTGTGTGTGTATGAGAGTGTTTACATCTGTATCTGTGTAAGTGTGTGTGTGTGTGTGTGTGTGTGTGTGTGTGTGTGTGTGTGCACCCACAGGCTGTAGTAAGAGTGCCAGGATCCTCATTTAGGCCTGCTCTCCATGTTTTCTTTTTTTTTTTTTTTTGAGTTGGAGTCTCACTCTGTCACCCAGACTGGAGTGCAGTGGCACGCTCCCGGCCACCGCAACCTCAATCTGCTGGACTTTGGTGATCCTTCAGTCTCAGCCTTCCAAGTAGCTGGAACTACAGGCGTGTGCTACCACACCTGGCTAGTTTTTGATTTATTGTAGAGATGAGATCTCACTAAGTTGCCTGGGCGGGTTTTGAACTCACGGGCTCAGGCAATCCACTCACCTCAGCCTCCCAAAGTGCTGGGATTACAGGCTGAGCCACCTAGCCCATACTTTCTAAAATGCAACCTCACAGCACACTTGGTAAACATCTGGATTTAAGTGTTTTAAAAAGAAGGGAAACTCAACTAGGATTCCTGCGATGGGGGAAGGGAAATGCCTTGGCCCAGCTCTCTAATTCCTCACCTAATGGGTCAAGCTGGAATGTAAGTACAGAAGAGCCCCTCGGTGCTGTTGGTGGCAGAATGTCACCACTCTCCACACTCAGCATGAGGACCTCTGCTGCTGGTGGCAGCACTTTCCAGAAAGTATCTTTTAGATGTCAATTTGCTAGGAATTGCAGCCTAAACCCAGGGAAAACTCTGCCAGAGTCTAAATTCCTACACTAGACCTATGATCAGTGTGGACACAAAGAAACGCTGAGAAGAACTTTGAGATTATAAAATGCATAAACAGATGTGGTGCATGCAGTTGGCTGGAAAGATTCTGGGTTGTCCAGATTCTGGTGCCAAACAGCAGGTCACTCATCCAGGTGTGAGTGCCCTGGGAACACTGTGAATGGGAGCTTAATGGGGGAAATACACGCATAAAATGGTAACACTAGTATCCTTGGGTGCACTTAGGGTGACAGAAATCTT